CCGAGTCGCTGGGCCCCTGGGCCAGGAGCGCGGCAGCACGCAGCCCTCCAGAGCTCCTCCGGGGGGGAGGGGGGGGCGGGGCAGGGAGCAGGAGGAGGAGGAGGAGGAGGAGGAAACGCGTCCTGGACCACGGGCCTTCCCCCAAAGCCGGCTTTCCATCCCGCGACGTTCCCTGGCGGCCCCGGGGCCAGTGGCTGGGCCCCGGGCGCCCGACGGCGCCCAGAAGACACCGGGGGCCCTCTCCCTCGGGACCCCGCTCGCTGCGCCTCGAGCTGCGCGCGAGAAGGTGAAAAGCGCAGGTCCCGCACAACCACCTTGAAGGGAAACTGGGACACACAAATAAATACACACAAATAAAAAGATTCCCCATATTTTCCTATATTTTCTGGGTTTTTGTCTTCCCCCCCACTTCCCATATTTCCCCATATTTTCCTGGAAATCGACAAATAATTGTGTCTATGTGTTTTTCTCCCTCCTGAGTACAGACGAATTGCTCCATCCGCGGCCCCAAAAGGCTCGGCCCCTTCGCCGGGGTCAGTTTTTCGTCCCGGATTCCTGTCTGATCGTCCTGGGGACCGACAGCGGGGCCCATGTCCGCCGACCCTGTCGGCGCGAGTGAGGGGCTTTTCCGTTTGAGCCGTCGCCGTCGCCGCTGCCCTCCCTGGACGCTTGTCCGTTTGAGTTGTCGTCGTCGTCGTCGTCATCGTCATCGTCTTCGTCGTCGTCGTCGCCGTCGCAACCCCCCCAGGGCCCTATCCCTGAGCCCTCCTCCCCAAACGTTCCACCCAGAAAGAAATCCAGCAACGTCGCAACCGAGTCGAAGGGAAGCCCATTCCCTTTTGTCTCTCCCCAGCTGGAGGGGGGGGTCCCAAAGGGGGTCCCCGGGGTGTGGTGGTAGGGGGGTCCCAGGGGGAGGGGGCCCTCGGGGCGTGCCCCCCCCCCCCCCATCCACGAGGGGGAGCACCCCTCCCTGTGAGAAGGTATCCTCCTGGGTTTCTTGCCTCCCAGTCGCATCGAACTCACTCGCACTGCGGCTTGCTCCAGGATCGGGGGCGGCCAAGGAGGGGGGCGTCCAAGAGGGGGTGTGCACATTATGGCCAGCGGCACGTGCGCGGCCCACAGGAGGGGAGGGGGTTGGGGACGTAATAAAATAAGAAGAGGCGCCATGAAATCTGGGGAGATATCATGCCCCCCGCAATGATATCCCCCCCCCACTAGTCATCACGCCCCTCTTTGCCGACCCCGACAGGAGGGCCCTGGCACAGAGCGAGATCGCTCCAAGATGCCCTGAAGATAGCATCAGTATCTCCTGGAACACTCAAAGAGGGCCCCAAGAAGAGCCACAAGGGCCCCAAGAGGAGAGAATCAACGATGCTCATGTAGTTTTTCGTATACGTTTCGAGTCCTAGCCTTGTCGGGCTTCCGACGCTCCAAGACGGGCCAGGAAGCCACCAAAATCGCCCCAACACGGTCCAAGAGGCTGCCGGAAGCGCCCGACAACACTACCAGACGGCCCCAAGACAGCCCAAGACGGCTCCTGGACCGCCCAAGAGGCCTCCAAAACGGCCAAATAGGGCCCCAAGAGGCTCCCGAGAGGGGCACCAACCGGCATTTCGAGCCTTTCGTTCCAAGAGGCCTCGAGGAGACCCTAGGAGGCGCCAAAGAACCCCCCAAAAGGCCCCAAGAGGCCCCCAAAAACCCAAGAGAACTCCCAAGACAAGCCCAAGAGGGTGAAACCCATGATGTTTCTCAAGCTTTTGAATGTGTGTTCGTCGTCGCCGTCGCCGTCGTCCCCCGTCAGTGTCGGCGGCACCAAACGCAAGGCCTTCGCAATCGAAGAAAAACAGGCCGGAACGAGAAACGCACGCACACGCGCACACGCACACAACAACCAGCACACAACGCACAACAACCAACACACAACACATAACACAACCTTCGCAGAGGACACACACACACAACACACAAAACCCACAGCACACAACACACACAACACACACAATACACACATACACAGTGCACACAGCATACATTTAACGTATGTAACATATGATAATCTTACATTTCGCACAACACACAATACACAGCACACGACATTCATCACACAGACACACACGCACGCACGCACACGCGCACGCACACGCGCACGCGCGCAGGCACGCACGCGCGCGCACACACAACTACACAACCACACAACTACACAACAACGCAACAACACAACCACACAACCACAAAACCACGCAACCACACAACCGCACATCTACACAAACACGAAGCCACACAACCACACAACCACACAGCCACAGCAACCAGACAACCACACAACCACACATTCACACCACAACGCAGACACACAACCACACAAACACACAACCACACAACCACACAACCACACAACACCACAACCACACAACCACACAACAACACAACCACACAAACACAACCACCTAACCCCGCAACCACACACACGCACAACCCCACAACCACACAATCACGCAACCACGCAACCACGCAACCACACACCCACTCAACCACACAACCACACAACCACACAACCACGCAACCACGCAGCCACACAGACCCGCAACCACACAACCGCACAACCACAGCAACCAGACAACCACACAACCACACAATCACACCACAACGCAGACACACAACCACACAAACACACAACCACACAACCACACATCCACACAACACCACAACCACACAACCACACAACAACACAACCACGCAAACACACAACCACCTAACCCCGCAACCACACAAACGCACAACCCCACAACCACACAATCACGCAACCACGCAACCACGCAACCACACACCCACTCAACCACACAACCACACAACCACAAAACCACGCAACCACGCAGCCACACAGCCCCGCAACCACACAACTACACAACCACACAACCACGCAATCACGAAACCACTCAATCACGCAATCACATAACCACACAAACACGCAACCACACACCCACACAACCCGACAACCACACGTCAGCACAACCACACAACCACACACGCACACAACAACACAACCACAATCCCACACAACCACACAACCACACAACCGCACATCCAGCCAACCAGCCAAGCACACAACCACACAACGTCACAACCACACAGCCACAACACCACACAACCACACAACCACGCGACCACACAACCAACCATCCACACATACACGAAACAAAGCAGCCTTAATACTACACAACCGCACAACCACACAAGCCAGCAACGACAGATCAACATAACCACACAATCACACAACCACACAACCACGCAACAACACAACCACCCACCCAACCACCCAAGTAAACAACCACACAACGTCACAACCATACAGCAGCATCACCACACAACCACACAACCACGCGACCACACAGTGTCGGAACCACACATGCATGAAACAATACAGCCTTAGAACCACACAACCACCCAACCACAGAAGCAAGGAACCACAGAACAACACAACCATACAACCACACAACCACACAACACACAGACACACAATAACACGACCACGCAACCACGCAACCACACAACCACACATCCACACAACGATGCAACCAGACAACCAGGCAACCTCACATCCACACAACACGACAACCACACGACCACGCAACCACACAACCACAACCACACAAACACACAACCACGCCGCCATCCAACCACACAACCAAACCACCACACACACAACCACGCAACCACACAACCTTAAAACCACACAACCACACACAGAACCATACACACAACCTCACAAGCCACCGCACACACACAACCACACGTACAACCACACACAAACAACCACACACACCCACAACCCCACGCACAACCATACACACCACCACACACACACACACACACACACACACAACAACACACACACACACACACCGACAACAACACGCACAACCACACAATCGCACCCACACACAGACCAACACACACAATCACACACACAACCACACACACAACCGAACACACAGCCACGCACAACTACACACATATCCACACATACAATAACACAAGCAACCACGGACACAACCACACAACCACACACACACAACAACACACACACAACCACACGAAAGACCACACAAACAATCACCCGTACAACCACACACAACCATACACTCCACCACACACACAACAACACACACACCACACATAACCACACAACCAAACAACCACCCATGCACAACCACACACACAACATCGGGAACAACCTCACGCACAATCGCACGCAACCGCACACACACAACCTCTGACACACACACACACACACACGCACTCACATACACAACCACACACGCAGCCACACACACACAACCACACACACGAATACACACACGTCCACACATACAAAAACACACACAACCAAGGACACAACCACCGACACAACCACACACACACAAAAACACACGGCCAAACACAGAACCACACACACGACCACACACACAACCAAAAACACACACCATACACGCACACACAACACACAAACACATGCACACACAACCGCACACACGCACACACGCAAACACGCACACACGCACACACGCACACCCGAACAAACGCACAAAACAAAACGTTCACAAACACACACACACACACATACGTTTGGCGTCTCGGCCCCGCGCGCAGCGACAGCGCGTCCAAGGGTCAGAGGAGAGGGCGCGTGCGCGCGTCCAAGTGACGAGCCCTCAAGCTCCTCAGAACGAGCAGCGCCGCGGCCAGCCCTGAGCCATCCGGGTATGCTAGGGCTCCCAACTTCGCGCTTCGCGCTCCGCGAAGCGCGAAGCGCGAATAACTTCGCGCTCTCGCGCCGCCCCCCCAGAGGGAGAAGAGGAGGACGAGGAGGAGGGGGAGAAGGAACGAGGACCGCGAAGCGCGAAGCGCGAATAACTTCGCGCCCTCGTGGGAGCCCTTGGGTATGGCTACCTGCACTCGTCGTCGCAGACCTGGCCCCGCCGCCCCCGCCCCCCGTGCCCCTCCGAGCGGGAATCTGGTCTCGGCGCGCGTACCTCCGACGCCGTCGTAGGAGACCTTGATGACCACGTGCCGCGGGAGAGCGACCTGCGCTCCCCCGGGGGGTGGGGGGGGGGCCCTAGGTCGCCGGAGCGCGTCTGCGAGGCTGGAGACGACACGCCTTGCGAGGACGGGGCTGGCGGGTACGCCTTCTCCATGCTATCCTCACTCGAGGGGCCACGACAACGGGGGACCGGCACAGGGGGGGAGACTGCGACCTGGAGTCGGCGATACACCGCCGATAGATCGTCGGCGGCCGGGCCCCGAGAGGGGATCCGCACGCTCCTGGGAAGGCTGGGGCTGTCGTGCCGCTCTCGGCGATCAAGGGGCGATTGGGGGTCGATGCAGACCCTCCCTATGCCTGTCCCCCCCAAAAAAAGTCCAGAATCGAATCGACGAGGCGGATCGGCCATCGCCATCAGCCGGTTCGACGGAGATTGGCGGCCGACTCGGGAGAAGTCGAATCGGCAGACATCCGCAGGCCAGTCGGCCTCCATCGATCCCCAGTCGGGGTCCGAAGTCGAATCGAGTCGGAACCGGACTCCATCGAAATCGAATCGAAGCGAATCGGAGGCATCGACACGAGCCCTGCCCTCCTCCGAGCAGCCCTCCCTTCCGCTGCACCCCGCGCCGCCTGAGCCCAGGTGCTCTCCCTATCCTCTCCGCCTGCCGTGCCCTGATCCTCCGAGATCGACTCGGCTTCCCCGGCCCGCACGGCGGCAGCGACCGGCCGAGAGGCGGGGACTGAGGACGAGGACGAGCTACACCTCCCACCCATCGGTGGGAGGGGTGCGAAGCCATCGGCGCATCGGCGCGAAGTTGTCCGCAGCTTCCAGGCTCCGAGGAGGGGGAGGATGACGAGGAGGAGGACGACGATGAGGAGGACGAGGACCAGGAGGACGAGGACGACGAGGAGGACGAGGACCAGGAGGACGAGGACGAGGAGGACGAAGACGAGGAGGACGAGGACGAGGAGGTCGAGGACGAAGACGAGCGCAGCGCCCTAACCGCGCGCGCGGCGGCGGTGCTTCGCCGCAGGCGCCTCTGATCCTCGGAAGGGGCGGGCGGCAGGAAAAAAGGAAGGGCGACACCAGCACCACCAGAGCGAGAAGATGCGATGAGACAAGGGGGGCCTCTCGCTCGAGACCTTCCCAGCCTCCGGCTCGGGGAGGCATCGTGGGACCCCTCGCTGGAGGTGGGCCCTCTGGTGGCGTTGGTATTGCTTCTCCTCCCTCCAAAGGCGGCCTCGAGGGGGGCCCCGCAGTCTGGATCGGGAGCCGCGGCAGGGGCGGAGAGCTCTCGACTAGGGGGCGGGGGCAAGGTTGGACTTCTCAATCTTCCTCCCCATCCTCCCCCTCCTCCTCCTCCTCCTCCTCCTTCCCCTTCTCCTCCTCCTCCTCCTTCCCCTCTCCTCCTCCTCCTCCTCTTCCTCCTCCTCCTCCTTCCACCTCCTCCCTACTCCTCCTCCCCCTCCTCCTCCTCCTCCTCCTCCTCCTCCCCTCCTCCCCTCCTCCTCCCTCCTCCCTCCTCCTCCTCCTCCTCTCTCCTTCCTCCTTCTCCTTCCTCCTCCTTCCTTCCCTCCTTCCTCCTTCCTTCCACCTTCCTCCTTCCTCATTCCTCCTTCCCCCTTCCTCCCTCCTTCCTCCTTCCTCCTTTCTCATTTCTCCTTCTTCTTCTTCTTCTCTTCTCCTCCTCCTCCTCCTCCTCTCCTCCTCCCTCCTCCTCTCCCCTCCCCTCCTACTGCTCCTCCTTCTCCATTTCCTTGTCCCTCCTCCTCCTCCTCCTCCTCCTCCTCCTCCTCTTCCCCTTTTTCCTACTCCTCCTCCCCCTCCTCCCCCTCCCCCCCTTCTGTCGCATGTTGAATTGCATCCTCGGGGGGCCATGTCTGCCCCGTCGCGGCCCTATCCGCGTCGAATCCGTGTCGGACTCGTCGGATCCGTCTCGACTCCGTGTCGAATTCGCGTCGGATCCACGCCAGATCCGCGTCGGTTCCGCATCGTTCCCGCGTCGGCACCAATTTGGGGGACAGGCGAGGTCGCCCGCAGATGCAACGTAAGAGCACTACGGTGAGGACGCTGGATCAGGAACCGTTGGATGAGGGGATAAGGGATCCAGGGTCTGGAAGCCGGTGAAACTCCAGTCGTGGATGGGGCCACGGATATGACCGTCGCCCTCATCAAATACGGGATCCCCAAAGTTTGAATCCTCCTGGGCACATTCTTTCACGGACGCCCCCGCCGCATTCACCGCTGGCGACGAACAAGACCTCAGGGCGGTCTTCGAACGCAGCAGGACACGGCGAAAAAAAAACTGCAACGCTGGATTCGTAAGATGCTGCATGCTTCTCAGCACGGAAGTACAGAGCTGTCTGGATCGAGTCCACATATCGATAAATGATGAGCTGCCACGGGAGATGGTTGAACACATTCACCATGCTGAAAGTCGATATCCACCTTGGGAGCAGATCTCCCAGCACCCCAAGGGGGCGGCGAGCATGGATAGCTTAGGCTTTCGGGGGGGGAATCCATTTTCATGTCCGCTGCCTGTCGATGTCCAAGAAGATCGATCGGCCATGCAGTGAATGTGTTTACCAAATTCCCAGCCTCGGACACTTCCTCGGAGCGGAGTTCGACTAATATGTGTTGTAGCAATTTCCTTTCTCATTCTCTGATGATGTACGAATCGCAGTGTGAGCTACCACTCCGAATGAGCGACTGGGAACGAGTAGGGTTGATGTCCAAAGAGTCTGAACATGCGTGACCACGCATGCGTGGGTCTCAATCTGCGTCGACGCCATGACATATGGGGCTGAAGTAAGTGAGTCTGGACACGTATAGGTACTACAAAATTCTTGGCTCTGAGCGGGCGTGGGTGAACATAAAACGACTGGGCCTGGGCATGTACATCCCAATGTGGGTGACTCAGCATGGCTTGCCGGGTACACGGGCGAGTCTGAATACGAGTGGGTCTGGGCGCGAATTAGCCTGAGTGCGTGCGTCTGCAATGTATCGAATATGGGTGGGCATGATCATGGGCGGGTCTGGGTACGAATGCCTCTGAGTGTGACTCAGTCTGACTACGGGTGCGTTTGAGCTTGCTCGGCTGACAACGAATGGATCTGATTACGGATGAAAGTGAACATCAGTGAGAGCATCGTGGGTACTTTTCCGGTTTTCTGGGTGCCACGGTGAACTTTCTGATCGACGGCAGGCTAGGCATATGAATGAGACGCGTGATGCTTCCATGCCACCCACGATAAGGTTGGCAACAAATAAACAAACTCATTTGACAGCACCAATGTTTCCTGACCGTGGGAAACACAATAGTGGGCGTGCAACGTGCCAGAAAACAAACACGTCGGCATCGCATTGGGCCGTGCACCTGGTTCAACCCCCCCGAGACGAGTTCCCAAAACACGGCTGGACCAGCTGCACCGCTTGTCCCCTTCTGCGACGCTAGACTACGACGCCAGCCACCGTGCCACCCTCTGTTTCCCATCCTCCAGCGACCTGCAACTGCGTAAAGGTAGGGATGTGTGTCCAGGCTGGTGATGCATATACATACGACTCTGGCCACAGTGGATTTGTCTGTTGGCGCGGCAGAGCGAACATGGCCACAACATTCCCGCCGCCGCGCACACGCCCGCCCCGGCAGCGCCACCGCCCTCAGCCAGCCAGCGTCCGCGCCGCCTAAGTCGTCAGCCGCCAAGTCCACGCCCGCACACCAACCGCAGGGCTGTGCACAGGGCTGTGCACAGGGCCACGGCGCAAACCCCTCGCAACCCGATCGTCTCATCGCCAAACCGCCGCTGGGAGAAGTGGCAGGCGGAGGAAGCAGAGGAGAGCGCAGGGGAAACCTAAGAGGGGGGAAGAGGCCTCCGTGGGAACGAGCAAGGCCTAATAGACAATAGACGCGAGTAGGGGGACATTGAATCGGATTAGGCCGCATTGCGCCCAGGATCAATCCAGATTCGACAGCGCTGAGCGGAATTGGGCCTGAGTCAGACGGATTTCGGCCGCGGATGTGCCCACGCCGATCACGACGTGAACACCTCACGGAATTGCAACGCGGCCTCGCATTTCCGAATCTCCAATCGCCGCCCGCCGCTGGGAGGAGTGGCAGCAAGAGGGAAATAGGAGCGCCCGTAGCTCCACATGCGCCAGGAACTCTGGCCGCCACGGCGCGCGGGAGAGATCAGTAGCACTTGCTGTTGACGGCACGGACTGGATGTGACCTTCTGGAGCGCCACCTGGACGGGCCTCTGCCAGCGCGCCGGCTTGAGCGAGAAGAAACAAGACCAAAAGGAGGACGCGGAGGAAAATCAAGAGGGGGGCGGAGTGCCCTGGCTGTTGCACGACGGACTGGGGGAGCAGGGCGACAAGGGGTGGGACTCTTCGCGGGGCCAGCCTGGGGCCCTCTGGGATCATGGCGAAACAGGGGTAATCGGCGGCGCGCCCAGGAGGGACGGCAGGGTGGCGGGCGGGCCTTCCTTGAAGGCTCCGGAGGTCTCCGGCCTTCTTTCGGGCCCCGTGGAGAGGCCTGCAGGCCCCTCCCCGCAACCACACAGGGCTGCGCAGAGGGCCGGAGGGCCTCTGAGGAGTCCCGCCGCCTCCTGGGAGGGTCTGCCCCCGCTGCCTGCCTACCTACAGCAGGAGCTCGACCACGAGACACCTGCCACAAGACACCCAGCCACGAGATATCCCCCCTCCCAGGGCGTCCCTTGAAATTTGGTGAAGGAGCGTCACGCTTTCCATGGCAGAACCGTCGAAATTCAAGAAACCCAGGGCACCCGAGGAGGCAAGCAAGGTGTTTCTTAGCATGGGCTTGCACTGTAAGTGCTGTCGTCACACCCCTGACCTTCAGTGCGGCATCCCGGTCCTTCTGTGTCAGCCACCCGTACACCAGCCGCGAGACCACCTGCGGGGGAGCTTCGAGGTAGAGAATGGTGAGGGCGAAGGGCTTGGAAATGACGGTCGGGGCTCGTTCTCGTCGACACCTGGTCAGATGTTATGTTCTTTGTGTGTATGTGTGCGTGTGTGTCTCCCTCTCTCTCTCTCTGCAATGGCTCTCGCTTGCGCGAGCAAGCCTGGATGGGCTTGGCGCGAGGTCATCGTCGGGTTGCAGAGCGACCGACTGCCGAGGTGAAACAAGACAAACACAAGTGTGCAAAGGCTGCGGTGCCACCGACATGCGCTTCCTGCTCGCGCCCTCGGGAGCAGTCCATGGGCAGCGCCAGCAAAATGGCGAGGCAGCTCGTGTTCAGAGCCACGCGCGGGCGACGTGTGGCGGACTGGTGCAGTAGACACACACGAATAAGAACATGAGTTTCCATTCGGCAGCGTTGAGGACCGCCACGTGAACCGTTCACTCCGAATCACACGAGCGCCTTGCTGTCACGCCACTCGCGAACACACGAAGAGAAATCCTGCGATCAGAATTTGATATATGGCGGCTGTCGGAAACCCTGTACCCAAAAACGCTTGCATCTCTTTGACGCGTTTGTTTTGCTTCCGCCGCCTTCCGCCGAGCTTTCGCCAGCCTCCGCCGGCGGAGGCGGCCACGTTGTACTTCCGCCGACCCTCCGCCGACCTGCCGCCGCCTTCCGATGCGGAAGAGATGACAACTCATTGAATCCTCGAAGGCCAGGCCCTGTTTGGAACGCCTCATACTTTTATGTTGGCACGTTCCTTATCGGCCTTGGACGGGCCCGAGGTGCCCCTGAGCCTCTGCGTGTCCCTTGGGCCACTGGGTGAGAGCCAACCTCCGCGGGGCGCCTGCCCGCCACCAGAAGCCTTGTCTCGTGTGCCCAGTGGAAAGGACATGGGCAAACGGGGAGGAGGAGGAGGAGGAGGAGGAGGAGGAGGAGGAGGAGGAGGAGATGGAGGAGGAGGAGGAGGAGGAACAGGGGGAGGAGGAGAAAGAGGAGGAGGAGGAGGAGAAGGAGGTGGAGGAGGAGGAGAGCAGAGCCCAGACAGAAACGATCTCACCGTCGGAGATTTGGAAATCCGCTCAAGACTGGTCCCTGGACCCCTCCCTGGGTGCCTCCTGGCCACTTCTCAAAGCTGCGTCCAGCCGCGGCGACGGGGGGCGCCCACGAGGCCAAAAATGGCTCGAGAGATCTAGGTCGTCGCCGTTGTTGTCGCCGTTGTCGTCGTCGTCCTCCTCCTCCTTCTCATCATCCTGCTCTTCCTCCTCCTCGTCGTGCTTCCCCCCGTCGTCCGGTATCCCTTTTATCAGGTCCGGCATTTCCCCCCTACAGGCGGATTTTGGGCGGAGAATTAAAGACAGTAAAAAAAACCGAAAAGAGCAGCAAATGTTCAAACAATCTTCCACAGCGGCCGACGGCGAGGCCCTCCCTCGCGGCCGACGGCGAGGCCCTCCCTCGCTGGGAACGCGCCACACGCGCAGGCCTGCAGGAGAGGGCGGGAGAGAAAGAGAGAGAGAGAGAGAGACGAGAGTTGGTAATTAGAGGAAGAGAAGGAGGAGGAGGAGGAGGAGGAGGAGGCGGAGGAGGAGGAGGAGGAGGAGGAGGAGGAGGAGGAGGAGGAGGAGGAGGAGGAGGAGGGGGGGGAGGAGGAGGTTCAGGAGGTCCTCCACAGGAAATCCCCGGAGGCTCAGAAGGTCTCCGGTCTTCTGAGAACCCCCTCGGAGAGAGTGCTGCAGGTCCCTCCCAGCAGCCCGAGAGGGCTGCGCAGAGGGCCGGAGGGCCTCTGAAGAGTTCCGCCGCCTTCTGGGAGGGCCTGCCCCCTCTGCCTGCCTCCCTACGGTGGGAGCTCGACCACAAGGAACCTTCCACAAGAAACCCAGCCCTGAGACCCCAGGGGCGCCCCTCGATTGTTGGTGTGGGAACGTCACGCCTTCCATGGCCAAAGCATCGGAACCCAAGAGAACCAGGGAACCCTGGAGGCAAGCAGGGTGTTTCTTGGCATGGGTCTCTATTGTAGAAGGGGCCTCCGGTATCACGAGGACGACGATGAAGGCTACCTCAGAATAACTTCGGACGATTCTCGTGCGGGGCCCCACCGTCGGAGTAACCGCGTGTGTGGTACGCCTCTTCGGCTTCCTGGCTCTCCAGGATTACATCAGAGGCCCCGACAATCGCCCAGAGAGTGCCCCCGCGGCCCCCGAGCGGGCGCCCATACGGCACAAGAGGCCCCCAAGACGGCCTTTGGTCGAGTAGAAGGGGATGACTCCGCGCAGAGAGCACACAGAATTCTGCACGGCACCAGTCACAGTGTGCGCGCTCTGCTTTGCTGACTCCGTCTGCCACCTTGACTGGAGGGGCAAACGCATCCTTGGGCGCAGTTCGGCCCCATTGATGCTGCGCCACTGGCGACGCCCTGACAAGAATGGTGCCTGCACGCCCGTGCTGGGACCCTCCAAGACCTCCGACGAGGCTGTCCCTTCGCACTCTGCACTCGCAGAGCCTGGAAGTCTTGGCCCCTTCCCGTCGATCGGCTGCTCCCCCTGAGTCGCCTTTCGGAAAGCCCTGGGCCCCGGGCCCCTGGACACCGAAGGTTGCCAACACCGTCCGCCGTGAGCTCTCGAGGGCGCGAGGAGGTCTGGGCTCGTGACCGACCAAAGGGGGACGACAGGGAAGGGGGACTGGCTCACGGGGTGCCGGCATCGACATGGAATAAATGATACCACGGCGAGGGGGCCGAACGGTCTGACACCATCCCTGCGAAATGGGCTTCTGCGGTGAGGACTGCTGCTGTTGTTTGTTGTTTGCTCGCTGTTGTCGTCGCGCGACCCGCCCGCGACCTACCCGCGACCGCGACCCACCCGCGACCGCGACCCACCCGCGAACCGTCCACGTTGCTGTGAAGCAAACCGGCGCTCGTGGCGGGCTCGGTGCGCAATGTGTCCAGACATCGGCGCCTGCGGCGGGCTTCTTCGTAGCCTCGCAGGCGGCCGACGATCCCGCCGCCCCCGCACTCTCATCCGCAGCTGCGGGGGCTGTTGCATCGCCGATAAATCGGCAAGGGGGGGCGATGCGTCCACGCTGATGGGTGGCGGCATCCCAACCCTACAGTCGGACTTGACTGGACAGGACACGCGAGAGGACACAAGACCCTTCCGAGGGTCACGTTGCCACAGGAACGTAGGAAGCATGGGTCGCGAGACACAGGAAACAAGGGTACCCTTGACTTGGCAGGGTCGACCTACTAATCTGGGCTGACTGTACCCCCCCCTTACCACCGCCTCTCCTGAATCGATGGGAGGCGGGGGTAGTCATCAAATTTCGCCGCGTGCCCGACGAATTCCGAACCCTACCCCCGCCGCTCATCGAATTGCATGAATCTAGGAAAACGAAGAGGTGCCCGTACCGCTACTCCCCGGACCTCTCCCGGGCTGCGCTCTGACCCAGATTTCGAGGCGAATCCGGCGGTGGCGACGAGGGCCTCCGAGGAGGCCCGCAAGCGCGGAAAACGAAGACCGGGTAGAGGTGTGGGTGCCTTTCTCCTCCTCTGAGGACCGTTGATCGGCAGGGGTAGGGTTCGGGCCTCGCCGCCGACCTGCGCCACCCCTCCCCGGACCGATCCCCGGGGCCGCAGGGCCGGGTCGTGCAGGGCCACCTCGGGGGCCGCGCAGGAACCTCCGAGCTCGCGGGCCCCGCGCGGGGGCGGCCGAGACACCCCGAGCCTCGGGCCGGCGGGGCGGCCTGCCTCCTCTGGCTCCTGGCGCGGATGGGGTCCCCCGAAGGTGGTCTGCTCCTCGAGCACCACTGCGCAGCGGAGACCACGAGCTCCGCCCGCAGGAGCTGCAGATCACGACAGCATGACTGTGCCGCAGCGCAAGATGGAGGGGCGACCGACCGTCGTCGAACGGCGCTCGACCGCACGCAACACTCTCCAAAAATGCCTTGAAACAAAAAGACAACACCGGCACCTAAGAACGTGCGGTATGGGATCCCCGGAAAAAGAGGGTCGGATAATGATTGAACAGGGTGGCCTGACAATGACCTAAATTCGCGCATCGCGCCCTCGCGCGCTCGCATCGCCCCTCCTTGAGAAGGGGTGCCTCTCCAGCCCAGAGCGCGATGCGCCAAGCGCGGTGATCTTTTCGCGACCCCTCGGGTGGCCTGGAGTCAACGATGGACCTCCCTCCTCTTCCTCCTCCTCCTCCTCTTCCTCCTCCTCCTCGCCTTCCTCCTCCTCCTCATCTTCCTCCTCTTCCTCCCCCTGCTCCTCCTCCTCCACTTCCTCCTCCCCCTCCTCCTCTTCCTCCTCCTCCTCCGCCTCCTCCTACACCCCAAAAGCCTTACCGAATCCAGGACCGTGACGGCTGTAGTGTTGGATGCAGTTCCCGGGGTCATGTCACGAGGAGCGTGACGGTGTTTGCGAGAAAAGGGTTGAAGAGGCGCGCACAAGAGCACAGCGCATGAGCAGCGCATGAGCAACACATGCGCCGTCACATTCCCAGAGCGGTGTGCATGCAGTTGTTCCCCAACATGTTGCTGGATCACGCAAGCTGCACGGTGCCTGCGTATCCCTCGTCTGAGTGAGGCCAAAAAGTTGGGAGCAAACTGACTCTCGAAACAGAGACCCCCCTCGCCGTGCCTCCCTGACTCGCCGCAACGATGACCCCTGATGCATGTCATCTCGCGGCGAGGCCAGGCAGAGTGATGAGACATCCGACCGCTGCGTCTCCGCGGCAATACCACTCTGGCGCGGAAAACGCGCCGACTGCTTCGAGTAAGGGATCGACTACAGAATTGATGTACCCCCAAACTCACCTGTTCGTCGAATCCACCAACCATGCGCATCATGCACGTAGGCCTACGAACATGATACGCATTCGTTTGGTACATGCCACTGGAGGACCCATGTTGGGGGTAAATCAATTCTGTAGACGATGCCCTACTCGAATGCTCTTCCTGTCACTGCTCCCTCGTGCATGCAGCGACGCGGCCTGATGCCCCACCAGCAGCATCGGCTCCTTGACGCGCTCCTGGGGATCGAGGTGCAGCAGGCGCAGGGAGGCGCAGCAGCCGCATCGGGGCGGGGTATTAGAGGCTTGGACATCGGCACCGATGGGAGCCATCGAGACATACTCGTACGAAATGTCCTTCTCGGAAGCGCGCGTCCGACCCGAACATATAGTACTGTATACCCATCTTGTAGTATATCGTTTCCCGATCGGTGTGGCCAGAACGCGCCCGCCACGACGCACACAATATAAGATTTATCGGTGCGCGCGTCGCTCTTGTGGGGGCGACGCAAACATAGTAGTAGTATGTTTGGGCGCCGCCGAACAAACACCAACACAGGTGGCTGCCTCCACCAGCGAAAGGGGGAGGATGATCCTAGATGTGGAAGTTGGTGGTAATCCTTCGGCAACCTAGGGAAACCAAGTATCACCACCATCGCCGAGGTCGGGAACATCTTGCCTCGATGGAGGCACACCGCCGACATTGGCGTTGGTGTCAACCTCCAGGCCTCCGAAGGTAGTCATTCTGGGATGGGAGCGCTGCTGACCCCACCCCATGGCACCTCAATCGTGGATCGCGGATACAAGCCTGCGCGATGACCAAACGAGTCTCTGGGCAAGCTAATTCTGTCGCTGCGCGCTTGTGGGAAATCAGCCCCCCGATGCATCTGGGTCGGTCGGAATCTGAGGAGGGACCACTGGCGGGAACAGAATTCGGCGACATCGGGGAAGTTTCTCGAACGCATGCAAGCACCAACAAAACAACCCCAAAGAACTCGTAAGAACTGTGCAAAAGCCCTCAGACTGCGCCCTACACTCTGGGCCGAAAGGGATGGACACCTGTTTACCCACGACATGCAAACGAGGGGCCCGATGACCAACTTGCGAAGGCACTCGGCCAGGCGCCTGTGCAGATCGCACGAGCACTGACTGAGCGGAACGCCCTGCGCAATCGACGCTGGATCCCCGCTCAACCTAATGGTGAGGGCGATAGTCCCTCTCCCCCCCCTCTCTTGGAATGTTCCCCCCTTCGGATGGAAGCGGCACGTAGACAACTACATGCTGCTATGTGTTCCTCTTGTCTTGCTTTCGACTCTCGAATTTCAGGAGGCAATCCTGGAAGGTCACCGTGGGAATAAAGGAGATAAGGCCAGCTTCAGTAAACAACGTGCTGGACTTAGCCGGAGTTTGAAACAACCATGACGCAATATACTACACGTGATTTGGGCTGGATTGAACGGGATTCGGCAAGGGTAAGGCGGATTCGACCGCGGATATACCAGCGACGATGATGAGTAGAACCTCCCAGACACTGCGACCGAGTCAACTTCCGTGATCGCACCGAGCCGCCACTCGCCACAACCGCGCTGGAACGGCCACACCCCTGGGAAACCATACAGATCGATTGCCCTGTCCCCTCTGACTCCTGCGGTGTCCGAGCGATGTGCCCCTCCGGGAGGACGAAGAGGGGGTGGGGATAGCAGAGGATTCTTTTCAAGATAAAACGAAGCACTCAAATCTGTACCGCGGGACTGGCGCTCATGCGGACACTCTGTCCTGCCAGTGCGGCCGCACCGCTCTCCAGAGACGGGTGCTTCTGAGGACGCCCTGCCCTGCCATCATGGGCAAAACGGAAAGACCAGGAAGATGAGGAGGAGGAGGAGGCGGGGGAGGAGGAGGAGGATGAGGAGGAGGAGGAGGAGGAGGAGGAGGAGGAGGAGGGGGAGGATAGCCAAGGGGGATTGCAAAGTGGGGGATTAGCCAAGGGGTGGGGGTTGGCGAATCAGCTCGTGCATCTGGGTTTCACGGCGCTGGAGGCGCTCGTGCGGAGCGAGGCGCGTGCCAGGCGGCGGGTGCGCGACCAGCCGCGCGCAGCAAAGTGCTTGCAGCTCGGTCGGACTTCATTGGACAGGACACGCGACAGGACACAAGACCCTTCCGAGGGCCACATTGCCGCAGGAATGTAGGAACCATGGGTTGCGAGGCACAGGACACCAGGGTACCCTTGATCTGGCAGGGTCGAGCTACTAATCCGGGCCGCCTGTTGGGGCTCGACCACCAGAAACCGTCCACGAGAAACCCAACCCTGAGACCCCAGGGCGTCCATTGATTCTCGGCGTGGGGACGTCACGCGCTCGACAACAAAACTGTCGCAACCCCGGAAAGCCCAGCAGGGTGTTTCCTGGCAAGGGCCTCCACTGTATAAAGGGGGCCCAGGACACACAAATAAATACACATATTTTCCCATATTTTCTGGGTTTCTGTCTTCCCCCCCACTTCCCATATTTTCCCATATTTTTTGGGGGAATCGAGGATTAATTGTCTCTGTGTGATTTTTCCTCTCCTGAACTGTAGCCCCCACCTGTCCCGGGCCCCCGTTCGCCGACCAGGGCCCCTCTGGGCATCGCACCGCCCCAGGCGTGGCGGAGCCATGACCCCCCGGGCGCTCCAAGCGGTTGATCGAGATCTGAACGCGGGCGATGACGTCATTGATCGACTCCCCGCGCGGGAAGCGGAAGCCGACGTTGTCCTCCACTTCCCCGGCCGCTGCCAAGTGGTGGCATCTCGAGGAGGGCCAGCACGGGTCTCGCACAGAGGGACAGCAACCAACGAGCACATCGATCGTGCCCCTCCTCCTGCTATCCTCAGCACCCTCGTCGTCGTCCTCGCCCCCCTCCTTCTCCTTTGCTCCTTGCTGGTGTGGCAAATGTTTTGATGGGATCTCTTCCCATGCGCACATGCAAAGACCTGGCGAACTGCATCGATCGCTGTACTACATGTCCGTGACTGGCACACCGAATGCATCCGCGCGTGATGGCTCTCCGCAGGATCCCGTACACGTCCGCCCACGCGGACGTTCGACCCTGTGGGCCTGTTGCAAGCAAGCGGCGAAGCGGCGGATGAGACCACAGGGCCTGTGCAGACCAGTGTGCTTGTGAACACCGCGGCAGCCTGCGAGCACCACCAGCAAGTGCTCGGCTAAACTCCCACGTGTCCTTCAAACCACCAAGCGGGGAGGGCAGCACGCCCGTCAGGACAACGATGGCCTGCGAGCATGCCGAACAAAAGGCACATACATACTTTTCTCGGGGGTCCACGCAGATTTCTTGGATCGGCGCTGGACCCCCCTCCCTGGCGCGCGGAGCTCGCCAGGGGCGGCGCCGGAGGCGCCGCCATGGGGGCCAGGCGTCGATCCAAGAGATCCGCGCGGAGCTCCGACAATCTACGTGTGTTATGTTCGTGCAGTTTTTTTGTTCTTCGTTAGTCGGGAGCTAAGGGGTGAGATCGAAAGGGAACGGGGAGCCCCCCACCAGGACATCGGTTTCGGTTTCGGGTTCGCTTCGTGCGTGCGAGGCGAAGCTGCGTGGGCGAGCGAGAAGAAGTACTCCGCTTTGGCAAATTGCGGCAAAAGCGGGTCAAGAGCCGTTGACCGCGCCCCTCCCTCCCCGGTGGGCTGGGCGGTGACCGGGTTGTCCCGCTGTGGTGTCCCGTCGCTATCCGCCCCTCCCACGCGGGTGGGCGGCCGGTGGCCAGGTTGTCCGTGGTGTCCCGTCGATTTGCCGTCGGTGTCCCGTCGCTGTCCCGTTGGTGTTCTGTGGCTGTCCCGTCGCTGTCCCGTTTCTGTTCCGTCGCTGTCCCGTTGGTGTCCCGTCGATGTCCCGTCGGTGTCCCGCGGGAGTCCCGTCGGGGTTCCGCCGGTGTCCTATCGGTGTCCCATCGGTGTCCCGTCGCTGCCCCGTGGTGAGATCGATAATGAGATCGACAGCGAGGCCGATACTGGGATCGATAGTGAGATCGCGCGAGTGAGATCGACAGCAAGGCCGATGGTGAAATCGATAGTGGGGTCGAGAGTGAGATCGATTGGTGCCCAGATGGTGTTCCGGTGGTGTTACGCGGTCCCGTCGGTGACCCGTCGGTGTCCCGTGGGTGCCCCGTCGGTGTCTTGTCGATGTCCTGAGACGTCCCGTGGTGAGATCAATAATCGATCGTGAGATCGGTAGAGAGGGCTTGTGGGATCGATAGTGAGATCGAGCGAGTGAGTTCGATAGTGAGATCGAGGAAGCGAGATCGATAGGGAGATCGAAAAAGGAGATCGTTTAAAGTCCCGATGATGTGCTGATGGTGTCCCGTGGTGTCCCGTCGGTGTCCCGTCGGTGTCCCGTCGGTGTCCTGCGGGTATCCCGTCGGTGTCTCTTCGGTGCTTCGGGTCCCTTCGGTGCTTTGGTGTCCCGTCGGAGTCCGTCGGTGTCCCGTGGTGAGATCGATAGCGAGACCGATAGTGAAATCGATAGTGAGATCGATAGTGGGATAATTAGTGGGATCTAGAGTGAGATCAAAAGTGAGATCGTTCGAGTGAGAGCGATGGTGGGATCGATCGAGTGAGACCAATAGCCAGATCGATAAGGGAATCGACCATGAGATCAATCGTGAGATCGATGGTGACATGATGGTGTCCTGATTGGTGTCCCGAATTGGTGTCCAGATTGTTGTCCCGATTGGTGTCCTGATGGTGTCCTGGTGGTGTTTCGATAGTGTCTCAGCAGTTTCCTGGTGGTGTCCGGATAGGTGCCCGGAGTGGTGTTCCGATGGTGTCCAAATTGGTGTCCCGATGGGTGTCCTGATGGTGTCCTGCTGTTGCTTCGATTGTGTCTCGATGGTGTCCTGGTGGTGTCCATAAGGAGACTTGGGGAGGGGAGATCGCAGAGAACCCGATACGCCAAACGTTTTCAATGTCAGCATCACCGGCCACGGGGTCAGCATCACTGGCCACGGCATCGTCACATTGCCATCGCAGCGCAGTTGTGGTGGCTTTTATTTGGCCCGATCGTACTCAGCACTACCACCGTTGCTTTCGCCGCCGCACTCACGACCACTGCGGCCATCCCCTGGCCATCAGCAGCCAGCTATCACACTTAGCACCAACCATCACAGCACAGTAGTGGTGGCATTTATTTGGCCTCATGGTGCCCTGGTGGTGTCTCGATGGTGAGTTCGATCGAGTGGGCTTGATAGTGGGACCACAACGCGACGCAGCATCGTCACCATGCGTCGTCGCCAACTCGAGGGCGCATCACCAGCATCGCTATCGTTACCGCCGTCGCAGCTGTCGTCGGTTGGCTCTGCCCCCACCCCACCACCGACCTCCTTCTCACCCGAAGGGTGGTCATGTAGGTATGCACAAGAATCGGAGGTTCGGGGGGTGAGGCCGAGGAGGAGGAGGAAGAGGAGGAGCAGGAGAAGGACAACCCCCGGGCAGCAGCGGGATCGAACGATCGCCCGAAGAAAAGAGGCGAACGGGCGAGGGCCGAGGAGAGACACCGCGGCGGAGGCACACCGACCGAGGCCGAAGCGCAACGGAATGGACCAGGTCGGAAGGATGGGCCGGTTTTCCACCACCACTCTCATAAGTTGGAAGGGGGAAGGAGGTGGAGGACGAAGAGGAGGAGGAGGAGGAGGAGGTGGAGGAGGAGGAGGACGAAGAGGAGTAGGTGGAGGAGGAGTACCCCCTCCCCCTTCAACTTATGGTGGTGGTGGTGGTGGAAAGCAGGCCCATCACGGAAATCGGCTTCGGCTTCGGGTCGTGACGCGGGTGCGGGCGAGGAGGAGGCTGCGCCGCGAGTTCCTGCACCAGCTAGGCCCAGGTCGCACCCAAGAGGAACCCACTCCCCGCCCGCTGGAGCGCGCCCAAGGTTGTCCCAGGGCTGTCCGGTGGCTGCTCCGTGGCTGTCCTGTGGTGATTCTGCGGCTGGTTTGTGGTTGTCTCGCAGCGGTTCCGTGTACCACTCTGTGCCCCCTCTCCTCCTGCCTCCCTGCCTCCCTGCCTCTCCTCTTCCTCGTACCTTTCTCACTGGGGGGGGCTGCGAACAGGGCAACAGTGGCCACTGTCGTGGGCTCCTGGGGGGCACAGCCGAGTGCAGGGCAGCGCTGGCCAACTCGATACCTCGGGGCTCCCTCGCGGGCCGCGAACTGCACAGATGTCGCCACTTTCGTGGGCTTCTGGGGGGCACGGCTCAATGCATGGCAACACAGGCCACTTCGAGACCTTCAGGGGCTGCGAACTGCGCCACTGTCGCCGCTTTCGTGGGCTCCTGGGGGCAGGGCTGCGTGTAGGGCAGCGCAGGTCGCGTCGAGGCCTCGCGGCTCCCTCGGGGGCCGCGAACTGCAAAGCTCTCGTCACGTTCAGCTCGTCGGGGGCTCGGCTGCGTGCAGGGCAGCGCAATGCACTTCGAGACCTCGCGGCTCCCTCGGGAGCTACAAACTGCGCTGCTGTCGCCACGCCCGTGAGCTCCTGGGAGGCACGGCTCAGTGCAGGGCAGCACGGGTCACTTCGAGACCGCGCGGCTTCCCCGTGGGCTGCGAGCTGCGCAACAATCGAATAATCGCCACTTTCGTGGGCTCCTTGGAGGCACGTCGCGGGTGAGGGCAGCGTAGATCACTTCGGGTCCTCGCGGCTCCCTCGGGGGCTGCGGACTGCGCAGCTGTCAACTTCCGTGGGATCCTGCGATGCACGGCTCAGTGCAAGGCAACACGCATCATTTCGAGACCTCGCGGATCTCTCGGGAGCTACGAACTGCGCAGCTGTCGCACTTTCGTTTGCTGCTGGGCTATACGGCGAAGGTGAGGACAACGCGGATCATTTCAGACCTCGCGGCTCCCTCGTCGGCTGCGAACTGCGCCACTGTCGCCACGTTCGTGGGCTCCTGTGAGTCACGGCGAAGGTGAGGGCAACGCTGATCATTTTGGACCTCGCGGCCCCCTCGTGGTCTGCGGACTGCGCATCTGTCGCCAATGTCTGGGGGCACGGCTCAGTGCAAGGCAACAAACATCTTGCATATCTCGCGTTGTTTTGTTCATACGCGCAGTCGGCTCTCATAGACAAGGGTCTGGGTACGGCTCGGGTAGTTCGGCTTCCCCGCTTTGGCTCACTGGTTGTGCCGTGGTTGTCCCGCGGTTGTCCCGCGGTTGTCCCGTGGTTGTCCTGTGAGGACCCCGTGGTTGTGGTCGTCGCGCGGTTGTCGCGCGGTTGTTCCTGGTTGTCCCGTGGTTGACCTGGGGTGTTCCGTGGTCGTCCCGTGGCTGCCCCATGGTTGTCCCGTGGTTGTCCCGTGGCTGTCCCGTGATTGTCTGGTGGTTGTCCCGGTGGGACAGGTCGATACATAGTGAGGCCCAAGATGTATCGATGAGATCGGTGGGAAGTGACAACACATAGATAGTGAAAACAAACACATATTTCTAGCGAGGTCGGTCGATTGATGATAACATGTCCCGTCGTTCACCCGTGGTTGCCCCGCGCTTGTCCCATCGTTGTCCCGTGGACATCCCGTGGCTGCTCGTGCTTGTCCCGAGGGTGTTCCCTGATGGTCCCGTGGTCGGTAGGTCGAGGGATAATGAGATCAAGGGATAGCAAGGTTGAACGATAGTCTGTCACTGGGAACGAATGACATACAGTGTGGGACGGGAGGTGGGATAAAACGCATCGGTCGATTGATAGCTGCTAAGGAATCCGACCCGACGCAGACCCCAAACAGAAAGCTGTACCCATGTCCCCCAAAGCGGATCCACATCACCCTCCTATAGGTACAACCGTGTCTGCGAACACGGCAGTGAGTCTGGGAGCAGCAGAACGCGCAAGCCCAATAGTATGACACACCTTGCCAGTGCCACAAAGACCTAGGCTGGCGAGCACCACACCAGCTTACGAGCACCACCACGTGCCTGTGAGCACCACTGCCAGTACCACAAGAGCTTGCGAGCAGCAATCAATGCCTGTGGGCACCACAATAGTCTGCAAGCGCCACAACGTGCCTGCGATTACCGAGCTGCGCCTGCGAAAAGCAAGAGCTGCACACGCATGTGCGACATTGCTTGCGAGCGTCACGAATCCCCTGACAACCAAAAACCGCCTGCGAGCACCAAAGCATGCCTGCGAATACCACGAAACGGTGTGCATCACACACCACCAACCTGTCTACACCAGCGTGACTGAAGCACCATCCGCCTACCTCGCTTTCAAAAGACGGCGAGGAAAGCTGGACCTGCCAATTCCACACTCGCCCGCGCGCACGACACATGTACGCACAGCAACACGCCGGACCACGTCAGTGCCAGAGCAGCCCACGTGCGCCACGTCGTGCCTGTGAGCACCACGCTGTGCCCGCGAGCCTGCGGGCACCGCGGTGCTTGTGAGCACACGGCGCACGTGAGCATTTCACAACGCCTGTCATGATGTCACAGCCTGCACGCGCTGGCGCGCGCCGCTACACCTCACCTCGCAATCAACGCTGCCAGCGAGCACCGCCGCATGCGCTCGCAACACCCAGCACATCGGCAACAAGCTATCTATGCACATGTGAAGCCACGGGAGCCCAGGGGTACAGGATTGTTAGCGCCACGGGGGGGGGGGTCGAATTCGCGGCACTCTTTGAGAACTTGGATCTACCTCAGGGCGCCGAGTGTTTCAGCACTCTTGGAGCCCACTCACGGCTACTCTTCGCTCCCCTCCTCCTCCCGCCTCCTCCCCCTCCTCCTCCCCCTCTTCCTCCTCCTCCTCCTCCTCCTCCTCCTCTTCCTCCTCCTCGTCCTCTTCCTCCTCTTCCTCCTCATCCTCATCCTCATCCTCTTTGTGAAAATCCCATCTAGCAGAAGAGAAGGAGGCCGACGAGCACCAGGTGGATGGACGAGGGAAGACGATGGGGAGGATAAACGCCTGGAGCAATCTCCAGAGCCTGGGGGCACCCCACAGCCGACTCCGAAGGAGCGCACAATCTTGGCACAACCATTGGAAGCCTCGATGGGAGCGACGCCTCCTTCCCGAGCCAGGGCGCCGGGGCCGAGGGATCAACCAAAGACGGCGGATGCGCCCCCCGCGCTGCCCCAACACACACCCAGACGGCTCGGCGGAGCCCTCAGAGGGCCCAGTGACTGGCCCATCAGGAAGAGGCGCGGTGATGAAGGGATGGGGGGGACAGGGACAGGGAAGGGAAGGGAGGTGGGATACGGGAGAGCAGGTGAGAGCTAATGTATGTAGGATGGCGCCGGGGGGATCAAAAGGCGATAAAAAGGCACGGGGGGATGATCAAAAGGCACGGGGGACGATCAGGTAGGATGTCGATGAAGGAAGGAGGGTGACGAGAGGGATGGGGGAAGAGAAGGGAGGGGTTGGGGAGGGGGTGCGACATCGGGAAGGAAAGGGGAACAGAAACAGTAGATGGATTCGAAGCGTCACCCCCACACGATCCCAACCTCCTGGCAGAGTCCGTGAACGCTCAGAAATGTCAGGCTGCAGTACGGCGCCGCATTTGCGCGAGCGGTCAGAAATGTCAGGCTGTAGTACAGATTTCTCCCTTCCTCCTGCCTCCTCCTTCCTCTTCCTCATTGCTCCCTCCCCCAGTTTTGTTGCACACGAGCGCAGACGAAACGTCCCCGACACACTCAGAACTGTGCCTCCTCCACGGTCAAGGGGCACATACATGCACATGTTGAGATGAAGACGGCAGCTTGGAGTGGATGTCTAAGAGACATGTTCGGATCCTTCCCCATGTCGGAAGCCAAGTTGGGATCGACATGTCTCATCTCCTCCTCTGTGAGGCCATCGAACTCCCCGGCATAAACCTCACATTCAACGAAGCAATAGGAACAACAGAGAATGCTAACGGAAGTGAATGCACGGAACACATATTGGGAGCTGGAATGAACATCCCCAATGGCACATGCCCTTGGTAGTTCATCGGCAACCGCATCCATGCGGCTCGCTTCGGAAACCCTGGCCCAGTCAATTTGCACCTTCTGGAAGGCCGATGTTTGTTTTCTGATGGTTTCCGCCGGCGGAGGCGCCCTCGATTTGCCGGGAAACTATTTTTCCTTTCAGGGGCCGATCACAACCGCGTCTGTTTGAAAAAGACGCCAATGTGATTGGCCCCTGGAAATCGAAGCCGTTTCTCTGGAGAGCCCAATGTAATGACAACTCTCGCGCTGCTCCATTCGAAACATCACGCGCTTAAAATGACAGGCAGAACACTCCTGTAACATCCTGCGCGAAGGTCTTGAGACATTGGATTCTCTCTGGTGGCCTTTTAGAAGTCAAGCCGACGAGCGCCGAGACGGCGCCACCATATTGCCAATCGCGCGAACACCACGGGGTTGGCAAGGACCCCAGGATGTTCACCACACTCTTCTGACTCGCGAAGTGGTCAGCAATGAGAACACATCGCCCTGGCTCGCCCATCATTCTAAGCGGAATCGGCCTTCGACTGCGCATCTTCCACAGGTTCCAGTTCCAACTGCGGCACACAATCTACGGTTTCGCGTGGAAGCGCCTCCTCAGCGTGGCAACTCCAACCCCACGGCTGCAGCAAGCAGTATTGTCAACGACTGGGCGAAACATTCCGCAGTCGACGAGGGCGCTGGGCAGGTAGCAGGAGGAGGAGGAGGAGAAAGAGGAGGAGGAGGAGGAGGAGGAGGAGGAGGGGGAGAAACCAGTGCGAGGGGAGAGGGGAGCAGAGGATGGGGGGTGGAGTGGGAAGGGCAGATGGGGAAGGAAGGGGAGACAGGAGGGAGCGGGATGCGGGTGGATCAGAAAGAGGAAGAAAGAGAGGAGGAGGAGGAGGAGAAGGTGGAGGAGTACAAGAAAGAATGAGGAAGGATCAGAAGAGGAGGAGGAGGAGGAGGAGGAGGAGGAGGAGGGGGAGGAGGAGGAGGACAAGGGGAGGAGGAGGAGAAGGGGGAGGGGGAGGGAGGATCAGAAGGAGGACGAGGGGAGGAGGGGATGAGGAGGGGAGGAGGAGGAGGAGGAGGCGGAAGAGGAGGAGGAGGAGGAGGAGGAGGAGGAGGAGGAGGAGGGGGAGGAGGAGGAGGGGGGGAGAAAGAAACAACAAAGGAGCGCAACATGCCTCCGCCTTCTTCCCGCCATCCCTCTTCTCCTCCAGGCGGTCCTCCACATCCTGGTTCTCCTGTTCCTCCTCCGTCTCTCCCTCCTCCTGGTCATCACCCACCGTTATTTCCCAACCATCCTGTGGTGTTGGGTCCTCGTTTTGAAGAGACGGTCTCCGCGTTCTCCCCTCTCGTGCCCCCCCATCCTCCCTACCGTCCGCATGCGCCCCGACCACCCAGCACAGCGCTTCGTGGCCCCATAGGGAGCCCCACAGAAGGTCCCAGTGCTACCGTCCGCATGCGTCCCGCACACCCAGTACAGCGTTTCGTGGCCACATAGGGAGCTCCACCGAAGGTCCCAGTGCTACCGTCCGCATGCGTCCCGCACACCCAGTACAGCGCTTCGTGGCCCTCCTCCCCCTCCTCCCTGCGTTTCACCCTCCCAATACAACGTTTCGTGGCCCCATAGGGAGCTCCACCGAAGGCCCCAGTGCTACCGTCCGCATGCGTCCCGCACACCCAGTACAGCGCTTCGTGGCCCCATAGGGAGCCCCACCGAAGGTCGTCCGCATGCGTCCCGCACACCCAGTACAGCGTTTCGTGGCCCTCCTCCCCCTCCTCCCTGCGTTTCACCGACCCAGTACAATGTTCGTGGCCCCATAGGAGCTCGACAGAAGGTCCCAGTGCTACCGTCCGCATGCGCCCGCACACCCAGTACAGCGCTTCGTGGCCCCATAGGGAGCCCCACCGAAGGTCGTCCGCATGCGTCCCGCACACCCAGTACAGCGTTTCGTGGCCCTCCTCCCCCTCCTCCCTGCGTTTCACCGACCCAGTACAATGTTTCGTGGCCCCATAGGGAGCTCGACAGAAGGTCCCAGTGCTACCGTCCGCATGCGTCCCGCACACCCAGTACAGCGCTTCGTGGCCCCATAGGGAGCCCCACCGAAGGTCGTCCGCATGCGTCCCGCACACCCAGTACAGCGTTTCGTGGCCCTCCTCCCCCTCCTCCCTGCGTTTCACCGACCCAGTACAATGTTTCGTGGCCCCATAAGGAGCTCCACCGAAGGCCCCAGTGCCTCCGTCCGCATGCGTCCCGGAGGACAACTTGGCATTTTCACCCACACAGTGCAGCGTTTCGTGGCCCCATAGGGGGCCCCACCCAAGGCCCCAATGCCACCGTCCGCATGCGTCCGGGAAATGTAATTTGGCATTTTCACCCGCGCAGTGCAGCGTTTCGTGGCCCCATCGGGGCTCCACCGAAGGTCCCAGTGCTACCGTCCGCATGCGTCCCGGTAACCCAATTTGACATTTTTCACTCACTCAGTAGAGCGCTTCGTGGCCCCATAGGGAGCTCCACCGAAGCCCTCAGTGGGACCGTCCGCATGCGTCCCAGAAACCCAATTCGGCACACCACCCACACAGTACAGCGTTCCCCCCCGCCCAGTACAGCGCTTCGTGACCCATAGGGAGCTTCACTGAAGCAGATATTCACAGTTACGGTACCCACAACTGCATATGGTTGGGACCTTCGACAGGATAATTTCATCCTCCTGCTTCTCTATCTCCTCCCCTTCCTCCTCCTCCTCCTCCTCCTCCTCCTTCTCTCCTTCCCCTCCTCTTCCTCCTCCTCCTCCTCCTACCCCGCGCTCCCCTCCTCATACCTAATTACCCCCCTCCCCGCTCCTCGTCCTCCTCCTTCTCCGCGTCCTCGTCATTCTCGTCCCCGCCATTACCCCCCTCCTCGTCGTCGCCCTCGTTCTGGCAGCCGCTGGCGGGTCTGCACGCACGCGCCCGATGACACCCACCGACCACGACGAGCCGCACTGAGAGGATGCAGAGCGCCACGAATACGCCCCAGAGGCGGCTCCGCCGGCGAGCGACGCGCGAAGTCCAGCGGCGCAGGTAGCACGGCCCACCCCCGGGGCGGGCTGCACCTGCCGCGCCGCCGAACCGCTTCAGGGCGAACGTTGAGCTCAGGGCCCCAGTGCTGCGTCAGAGCGCTGGGCACCGCCGCAGCTGAGGTGGACGCGCGCCGCCCTGTCGCGCAGGCCCCCGGTTTCCAGCGCCAGCGGCAGCAGCTGCCGGGGGCAGCGGCCCTCCGCCGCTTGTCGGCCGCGGCCGCGGCATTCACGGCGCCCTCATGTCGCGCGGCAGCAGTCAGCGCCTTTTGCGTCCACAGGCACTGCCCTGTGGACTCTCACAGCAGCAATGACACAGCAACCGAGAACCGACCGAAACGCAACCGCCTGCGACGCAATCGAACTAGCACGGACACCTCTGATTGCCATCCCGTTTGAAACCCTCTGCCGCGGCGCAATTTCCCGTGGAGCCGTTTCATGGGAACCGCGAAGAGTCTATCCTTGCTGGTGCTGCCCGTCTCCGCACGGAGCACGCTTCAGCATGGCATCGCCAGAGCCGCCAATGCCGCCCAGGCTTCAGACACGGCGACGTGGACGAGTGCTGTTGGCGCGGTGGCCTTCATTGGCTGCCCTGCCACTTCGTCGCCTGGGTGCCCAAAGAGCACATCGAGAGGCCAACATCAGAAAAGGAAACGTGCAAACTTATTGTCGAACAGAGCGCGCTGCGTAAATCTACTCAATGGGCCAGCATGGCTACGCACTGCTCTGTCACCCTGCCTCCGCCAACTCCCACTCCACATCCCCCTCCCACCTACTCCTCATCCTCAGCAGCTACTCGGCCCATCCCTAATCTCTCGATGCATTCCTAGCCGAATCCCTTGCACAATCATCTAGACCATCTCCCGCGCCACACCCCACCCATGGTTCTACAATCAATACTCTTTTGTACATCTGCTTCCTCCCTCCACCGAACTTTCGCACCACGCCCGTCCTCCTACTGCGTGTCCAACCCATCACTGCACTGTGGCATCCCAGTCCACACTTGCATCCCTCCGGTCCGCTTTTTTCCTCGCCCCGCCCAGCTGTCCCCAATCATTCCACCAACTCCCAGCCACCTGCAACTGGCGTTCCCCCACTTACCCCGCTGCGTTTCACACCCCAGAACACCCCCACCTTTTCGATGCAAGCAGACCGCCCGTGCTTGAAGTGACTCGGTCGGCGCCTGGTTGCGTCCCCCGACCAGTAATTTATCGGCTCGGCCGCTGACTCTGATGCACCCCACTGCCCCCACGCTCGGAACAGCGAAGACGGCACCGCTGGTAGTGGACGACCGACTTCTGTCGAATGGCCCGCCAAATGGCTGTGGCAACGACGGCTGGTGCCTCGTACGCAATTTCATGGTGCTCTAGCCGCCGCGCAGAATACAATCGCTTTGCGCGGTGTTAGCTGCTCGCTCACTCCCATTGCCCCCCTTCCTCCTTCGACCGTCGTCGTCGTCACCGTCCTCTTCCGTCGGTTCCACCTCCTCCTCCCTTTGTTCCTCCTCTTTCTCCTGCTGCGCGTCTTCCTCCTCCTTCTCCTCCTCCTCCTCCTCCTCCTCCTCATCATCCCCCTTTTGCTCAATATTGCGTGGGCCTGAGGACAGCAGTCCACGCGCTGGGGGTGGTTCTGCAGGAGGGCGCCCAAAGCAAGATGGCCAAGAAGAGCATTCAGTCACAAAAGAACTGGTCGAGGCAGACGAGGAGGGAAGGAGCAAGTGTCATCCTCCTCCTCCTCCTCCTCCTCCTCCTCCTCATCATCATCATCATCATCAGCATCATCATCATCATCATGATCATCATAATCATCATCATCATCATCATCATCATCATCATCATCATCATCATCATCATCATCATCATCATCATCATCATCATCATCCTCGTCCTCCCATCCCATCTGGCTTTCCCGAACATGGCCCCTGCCCGCACGTGAAAGGTAATTGGTGACAGCGTCGATTAGATCTGGGAAGGGGCGCCTCGTCCAAATTCCTGAATTTCTGGCCACGAAACTGGTGCCACGGCTTCCCGCCCTTGCCTCTCACGACGTTGTGATCAATGAACTGCGCTGTCTCTATCGTCCGCTTCAGGGATGAGGTCCTGCCCCCCGAGGCGCCAACCAAACCCTCCCACAGCAGCACGGCAGGCAGTGCTCCAACAGAGGCTGCGGATGCGTTGGAAGCGCACTGGGCAAGCCCGAACGAGAAGCCTTGCAAGAGAGGCATGACATGATGACTCTGGAACCAGCGCGACGACGAGGGAAAGCAGCGCTGGTGGCTGACGTTGGATAGGAGAGGCTGCCAAGAGGGAGCGCGCATCAAGAACCACCCATCCCCTTCGCGGGGGGACGCGGAGAACAGCGCAGACCCCGTGTCGAATCCGCGCCGAATTCGCGTCGAGTCCGCATCGAGCCCGCGCCGGATACACGAGAAGACGCCGATTTGGTGGACGGGCGAGGTCACCCGAAGACGCAACGTAGATGGTGCCCGTTCGACCTGCCCGCAGGCAGGTGTAGGTCGGGCATGTCCTCCTACAGGCGGAGTTTCGAGGGAAAGCAAAAAAGTGGTTGCACAAAGTGTCAAGAACAGTCAAACAGATATTAGCAAAATCGCCCCCAAACACTTTCAACTATTCCTCCTGTCGAGGGGCACGCCCGACTTTCAAAGGCAGGTCGAGAGGGCACCGCGCCTGCCCGCCTGCGCCCGCCCCTCCAGAGCCGAGACGGCTTCTGGCCGGCGCCCTCCGCCTCGCCGTCGATGAGCACCAAGGTACCCTGGCGCGCGTCTTCTTGAGCAGGGGCCGACCGCCCTGGCATTCCTGGAGGCCCTCCACGAAATTCTCCTAGTCGGCTACACGCAGGAGTGGCCCTGGATAAGAGTGACCTTTGGTGCGCGGCTTATTGAGGGCCGCGGGGGGGCCAAACACAAGCGCGCAAGGCGCTACTATCGCACAGCACTGGGCGATCAGCGCGCCCAAGTGGGCGCGCACCAAAGGTCACTCCGGCGAGAGGCCATTCTAACGCGCAGTCGACCTAGAACCGAAGACTGCTCTCACAACGAAAACATAGCTCTTATAGCAAAAAGCCGATGTGATAGAACGAGACGGTCTTAGCCAGAAAGGTTCTAAGACAATTTCGTGTAAACCACAGAGGGTTCTTAGAACATTATTTGGCGGGCCTGTAGGGAAGCCAGGACGCAACGTCACTGCTTGAACCTGTTTATTCTTGGCGATAGCGGCCGTTGCCGGCTCCGGCTGCCCACCCACCCCCTGGTAACGTCACGATTCGCGCTGACTCCCGTGCTGTCCTCGGTGATTCCTAGACCGTCCCAGACGGCGCCGCCGCGACACGTGACGTGGCCGGCCACCTCCCCCGCGCCCTCCCCGTCGGGTGTCGCGTCATGGGGGGCAATGTCTGGGGGGGGCAGCGAGGGCTGCAGAGAAGGGGCCCTTCAGGGCCCTGGAAGAAGCCCTCCAGGGCCCAGCAGGGGGCCTTTGGGGTCCGAGAAGTACTCAGTTCTTTCGCAGGCCCAGAGGTTGACACCAACACCAATATCGGCGGTGTGCCTCCATGGAGGGAAGAAGATCCCGATCTCGCTGATGCTGGTAATACTCTGGCTTCCAAGGTGGCCGAAATATTACCACCAACGCCGAAATCTAGGATCATCTTCCCCCTGTGGAGGCAACCCCCTGTGTTGGTGTTGGTGCCCATTTCCAGGCCTCCGATTCTTCCCCCCCACTCATCGCCCCCCTTTTTGAGCGACGCCTGCCCTGGTAAAGCCCGCTGGGCGGCCGGGAGTCAAGAAGCAACTCTCCTGCTTCGCGAAGCCCATGGCCCACGTGACCTCCGCGCCGGGGCTGGGAGAGGTGCGGGCAGATGGCGCGGCAGGCCCAGGGCAGCAGGCAGCGGCTGCTTAATGCGAGGCGGGGGGGCGTCCGCATCCACAGCCTCCGAAGCCGATATCCAGGGACCCCAGGGAGCAGTGGGTATGGATATATTTGGGTCCCAGGGGGTCCCAGGGAAGGGAGCAGACCTATGTGTATATATATATATATATGTATACAGTCAACTTGTGTGTGTGGTGTGTATGCGTATGTGCGTATGTGCGTATGTGCGTATGTGCGTGTGTGTGCGTGTGTGTGCGTGTGTGTGTGTGTGTGTGTGCGTGTGTGTGCGTGTGTGTGTGTGTGGGTGTGTGTGTGTGTGCGTGTGTGTGCGTGTGTGTGTGTGTTCAGGACGGGGGGCAAGAAACTGAAGACCATTGGAGGCCGAAGATGGGATTCTTTGGGCGGCGGGCGACCAAACCCCAGAGACGCAAGGGTACCCAAGGAGAGGCCCGTGGAAACGGCAAAGGACGGGCCGCAGAGGCGCAGAAACAAGGGCACTCTGGATGAAGGCGCGCGTTTTTTGCTAGGCGCGTTGACCGTATAGCTAGTGTGCCATTTCTCTCCACTCAAGCCAGGATCACGGCGTCGTGATGACTGCAACTGCCCTGCGAAAGCAAGAGGTCAAGAGACTCGGAAGCCTGAGCTCAAAGAGACCAGGATGCAGGGCGGTGCAATTTCAACTGTGATAGCGCAGGGGATCACTGGCGGGGCCGGCGAAGGGCGCAGCCGGAGCCTTTAAGCCCCATGTGAACGGACAAATACACGGCGGTCGGTAGAAGTAGGCAAACACATGAAGCAGTCTGGCGGATAAAAATAGATTGGGTCCAGGCACTACCTGAGAACAACACCACATGTCAAAATCTCGCCGATTCTTGAAATGGGAAAGCGCTGGAAATAGATTGGGATCTGGGAATCCAGGAATACATACTTTCAACGACCGGCGTGTACAAATCAGGGCAACAGAGAAGATCTATGAAACTGTACTACACCCGTGGTCTTCATGCGGTATCACGGGGACCACCTCACTTGGACAGAAATTGCAAAACTACTGTCCGACTTCGTCCCGCTTCGGCCAAGAAGACGACGTCGTGATGACTGCAACTGCCCTGCAAAGCAGGGGAGCCAAAACTCAGAAAACTGACTTCAATAGACAAATCTTCAAGGCAAAAGAACTCCCGAACTGCTCGCTCCTCCCTCCTCCGGGACTCCCCCGACAAAAAAAGAAGAAGGATCTGTGGAGGCGGATGCGCGCCTCGTCGACTGTGGCGGGCGCGTCCACAAAGTTCGTGCCGAAGCCAGGCTGGCAGCGCAGCAAGTTCGGTGGCGTTCACGCACCAGGCAGGCGGACGATGAGCGCGAGGAGGAGAAGCAGGACAGTGAGTGGAGGAGGAGGAGGAGGAGGAGGAGGAGGAGGAGGAGGAGGAGGAGCAGGAGGAGGCAGCTGGAAAGCAGGGCCCCCAGGCCGCCCATCTTCGCGCACCCGGCGCCCCGCGAGGTGCGTGACGCGCGGCCATCTTCGCGTGCCCTCCCGCCGCCCCCGTGGGCACTCGGCAGCTCTCTGCGTCCCGGGCCGCGCCGCGAGACAGCTGCGCGGCGGCCTCCGCACCCACGGGGGGCAGCCCAGAGGGTCGCACGTTCCCAGCCTCGAGCGTATCCCTATCCCCAAGATTGACGCGCCAAAAGGGGCTGACAATCTTAGGGATGCGCCCTCAAAAAATGAGGGAATCCCTAAGATTAGCATCGTGATGAGGAGGTGTCCAGCATAGGGATAAGGGTATGTTCCAGGCTGGTAAGCACGGGAACGAGTGTGCCCAGATGCAGGAGGAGCCCAGAACCGACCCGATCGAGCCGAATCGGCAGTCCGAGTCAATCGGCTCGGCGGAAATCGGCGGCCGAAGCGGCAGAAGCCGGATCGGCGGATATCGGCAGTTCAGTAGGCCTCCACTGAGACAACGGAGCCCAAATCGAAATCCGAAATCGAATCGAATCGGAATCGAAAGCCATCGACATCGAATCCAATCGAATCGGAGGACTCGAAACGAGCCCTGCAGATGTGTGCAGGAGACGATCAGTAGTGCCGCGTCGTCCTCTGTTCGAAGTCTTCCCGTCGGGAGGCCTCCAGCGCACACGCCCATCTACTCCTCACCCCCCGGCCTCCCGAGCTTCCGGAGCAATCTTGGAACGTCCTTGGGCGTTTGAGGAGCCACCCTGGGAGACACCTTGGAGGCTCCTTGGGCGTATGTGGAGCCTCCCTGGCGCCTCCTGGAAGTCTCCCTGGGCGTTGGCAGAGCCACCTTGGAGCCTCCTGGGAGCCTCCTTCGGCCGCCGAGGAGCTTCCCTGGGCGCTCGAGGAGCCTCGTGTCCGACTCGGGGGCCGCCTGGGGAGGCCTCTCGTGCCGCCTCCTCCTCCTCCTCCTCCTCCTCCTCCTCCTCCTCCTCCTTCTCCTCCTCCTCCTTCTCCTCCTCCTCCTCCTCCTCCCCTGGGGACGATTTCGGAGGCGGGGGCCCGAACGAGCCACTGGGGCTGGCCCTGGCCCCGGCGTGGAGGGCCCTGGCCGCCAGGGCCCCCGCGCGGGAGAGAGAGAGGTAGAAAGGGAGAGAGGGAGAGGGAGGGAGAGAGAGGGAGAGAGAGAGAGAGAGAAGGACGCACGATAAGGACGCACGATCAGGATGCAAGGGCCTCCGAGGGCAATTTCGATGCTTTTCGTGCGGGGCGCGGCCAGCGAAAGTGGCCAAGGATGGGCAGACGGGGCAAGGATGCAATGGTGCCAGTGGGAAGGTTGCCCGTCCTTCATATGCGGGTTGACTGTACTCTAGTTTGGTATCTTAAAACGAAGTCAGGGCGAGGATAAAATCGGGTGAGGATAAATCGAGGATCTCTGAGATCTGGGGGCCCTGGAAGATGTCTCGGGCGCCGCGGCCTTCTCAGAGCGAGCGTTCCAGCACGCTCTGAGAGCGTCCCAGACGGCTCTGGAATGGATTGATCCTCGTCCTAGCCCCGTCCGATGTCTGCTCCATGGGAACCCACGTGGCCCCCAGCGAGTTTCGATTAGGGCTTGATTTGGACCGGACTTGTAACACATGTGAGCCTTGCTTTGGAACGGACCTAGAGCCGTTCGCAAGGGAGGCGAGACGAACGAGGAGGGGAAGGAGGAACAGGACGGGCTCCGAGGAGCAGGAGGAAAGGCCAAATGCGGTCCAAATGCGGCTCAAATTAAGGAGCATATGATTTGAATGTCGCCGCCCAAGGCTCCCACGAGCAGACATGGAGCACCAGAGCCATCGCGCGCGCTTCGCGAGCGCTCGAGGTTCTGACTAAGGTGGAGGGCTAATCCATAGCGGAAGGAAGAAGGCGGTCATCCGTGATCAGGGACAGGTGACCTGCCTGAACCCGCTGTGACTTCGCAGAAGTCCACCGTCCATGTTCCGTCGACGGTCGCACGTCGTCCGTCGCGGTCGTCGTCACCGCCGCCGCCGCCGCCGTCGTCGTCGTCGTCGTCGTCGTCGTCGTCGTCTTCGTCGTCGTCGTCGTCGTCGTCGTCGTCGTCGTCTTTGGCGTCGTCATCGTCCTTCGTTTTGCTGTCTTTTCGTCTATCGTCGGGCGTCGCGCATCGGCGGCCGACGCGATTGTTAACTCTGTGTGGTTCGCGTCTTTTGGTAATCCCACCAGCCCTCTGGGCGTCGGTGGTTTAGAGCGTTTCCTCTTCCACCCCTCCTTCTTCCCCTTCGGGGAGGGGTTTACCCCTCCCCCTACCCCCTCCCCACTGACGATGGCCCAAGACGGCTCCAAGAGGGCCTCAGGGAGCCCAAGATACCCTCCAAGATGGCTCAAGATAGCGCAAGATGCCTCAAGATGGTCCCCATGATGTTCCAAGACGTTCCAAGAACTCTCCAAGACGGTTCCAAGTGCCTACAAGAGCATCATTAGGATGCATCCAAGAGGCCAAAATGCTTCAAAACCCTAAGGAAAATCAATATTGTTGGTGTTCTCACTTTTTCGCTTGCGATGCACATCCGGGGCGTCAAGATGGCTCCAAGATGGCTCAAGATAGCTCCAAGAAGGGCCCAAGAAAGCCCCATGACGGCGCCAAGAGCGCCGAAGAGCGCTCCAAGAGCGGTCCCACAGCGGTACAGGAGACGATTTTTGGAGTTCCTGGGGGGGGGCTCTAATTAAGGAACCCCACTTCCTCAATGCCCAAATCATTGATTTTACTAAGGTTTTGGCCACATTTGGGCCTCCTGGGGGGGGGTGGCACTGCTTCAGATGACTCCAAGAGCGCCTGGGAGAGCCCAAGATGACCTCCAAGATGGCTCAAGATATCCCAAGATGCCTCAAGATGGCTCCCACGATGCTCCAAGAGGCCCCAAGACCGCTTCAGGACGGCTCCAAGTGGCCAAAGAGCTCCCCCAGGAGGCCCCGAAGAGGCCAAAATCCTTCCAAAACCTTCGGAAAATCAGCATTTTGGGCTTTCTCGCCTTTTCGCTTCCGATGGCCATCCGAGGCTTCAAGATGACTCCAAGATGGCCCAAGAGGGCTCCAAGAGCGCTCTGAAGGCTCCCAAGAGCGCTTCAAGAGGGCCCCACGAGGCGCCCATGAGGCCCCAGGAGGCCCCAACAAGCGCCCCAGAGGCCTCCAAGAGACCCCCAAGAGACCCCCAAGAGGCCCCAAGAAACTCTCCAAAGCACCCAAGACGCTCTAAGAGGCGTCCGGGACCGCGAAGAGGCCCCTAAGACGCTCCAACTGGCCTCCACTGGGGTACCCTTCCTTTGTGTGCTGCCCACTTCCCTGATCGAGGCACTTCCTCTGGGCATCGTTTCTGGATGGGCTGTTTTTTTTTTTTTTACAGACGAAAGCGGAAGCGCCGGCGGCGAGCGGTCACGGTCGGGCTGCGGCCGCGACTAAAAGCGGGCGCGCGCGGGAGCCGCGGATCAGGCGGCGAAGCAGCGGCAACCCAGGGCGTCTGAGAGGCCAGCGGACGTGCAATCCCAGGGAGTCTGCAAGGACAGCCACCTGAGGTAAACGTGCAAGCGGCAAACCCGGGGAGTCTGAGAGGTCAGCCACCGGGGTGAGCCAGGCGCAGCCAAAATGGCGCGCAGGGCGTTCCAAGTCGTGATCGTATCGAGACGGCCGCGAGGTAGGGAACGATCTCCATGCGGGAAAGTCAGTCCAGGGAGTCTGACGGGTATGAGCAGACTGAAACTGGTGACGCAGTCCAGCAAGAGGAGTACTCTGACAGCGCCAGCGAACCGTCGCAGCATCAGAACACGCATCCACGCAAGTGGAAGCCTAGGGCCGCACGGGCTAAGGCAAGAACCGTCCACTGCTGAGAGATGCACCTGCGTCCAGAGGACCAGCGATCTGGTCTGGACGCAGCAGGGGTGCACGAGGCCACTCAGTGAGAACGCGAGGTCGCTCGGGAATGGACGTGCAACGTTCAATGTGACCCAGCGCCAAGAGGCCCACACACCCAAGTGTGGAAACGCTCGAAAAACAAGACCGTCGTATACCCAAGGACGCGTCCCTCACAATCACATAGTCCCAGGAGGCACGGCTGAAGGCCGTAGTAGCTAGGAAAATCCAAGGAGTAGCGCAGGTCTGGGGGCGGGCGAAAACCGCCAGGTCGGCCACAGCCGCGCGCCAGGCTAGGCCTCGCAGGGTGAAAACAGCTACACTGAGGCCAGGGGCTACAAGGCCACACGCAACCCGAGATTAGCGTGTGGACGGTATTACTGGCACACACACTTGTATCCAAAGGCAGGAAGTGCGCGTGCCAGGAGGGGCGGCAGGAAGCCGCAAGCTGGGTCTGTAGTCCAAGCGCGGCTGAAGGCCGCTGTCTGTTAGAGAGTCCCAGGGTGCAAGCACGCTAGGAGTGGGCAGCGGGTGGCCCCGAACAACTTAGCCGAGCACGTGGCCATTTGGGCCACTGGTAGTCCAAAGAGCGGCTGACGGCCGCTGTCTGATAGAGGACCCCAGGGTGCAAGCACGTTTCGGCTCTGTCTAGCCGCGTCCTCGTCCACTCCGGCTGTCTCGCACGGTGCTCCCCGGACAGAAGGGGCGTCTTGGTCGGGAAGAGGCAGGTATCCGACCGCGGGCGTTCCCTCAGCAGCCCTCCCACCTCTCGCCACGATACTGTTGCCAGGAGGGGAGCAATGGGGTAGGAGGTGGTGGCCGACAGCCACGGCGACAGGCAATGTGATAGCTTGAGCACGAGCCACACGCTGAAAGGAATGAAGAACTCTTGCAGCATCGCGCCGAACAGTCCGCTTGGGGCGCCCCAAGCTGCAGGATCGCTCGATGCT